TTTTTAAATGTTTATTCAATATTAAATAACCACGAAAATATTTTCAAAAATTAATTAATTAAGTGTTAAGCATAAATGAATTAAAGTAAATTTTATTATGATATGAATGAAGAACAACTTATAGCTTTGGGAAAAAAAATTACAAAATTAACCGATATTTATTTACAAAAGAAACCAGATCTTATTAAATTATGCAATTTAGAATTAATTCAAGAAGTTCAGGACTCAGCGAATACACGGAAATCTTAAATAAACAAGTAATGCAACTAAATAATGAAACTAAAGACAGCCATCAAGAAATAAAACGATTAAATACAAAATTAGAAGGAATAGACAGTTATCATAAAAATAAAATCGATCATCTGTGTACCAAAATCGAACAACTATGTACAGAAATGCATAATTTTAAAAAATACGACAAGACAGTCAATTTTGAAAATAGATCACGCAAGCGAGACAAAAGTCCATATCCAGAAAGAACAGATCACGAAGGCAGGAACAATTATAGAGAAAAAAGTCCTTATCCCGATAGGTACAACAACTATAAGTTCAGAGAAACTAGTAGAGATAGATACAATAACAATAAATATAGAAATAACAGTAGAAAAATGAGCAATAATAGAGATAGGTCTGACTCAAGAAATAGGGAAAACTCCTACGACAGATCCAGAGATAAAAATAGTTATAACAACAGAAATAGTGAAAATGACACAAATTGGAAACAGTATAGTAGGGAAAACAGCAGAGAAAGATATTCAAGATCCACGACGCCGGAGAGATTTAACGGAAGAGAAAAAATAACATGCTACAAATGCAATGGTAAAGGACACTATGCTAACGATTGCAATTTTTCAAAAAACGAATAGCACCCGAGCTAAGAGAAAAATCGGAATATCTAACTCGGGGAACAAAATATAATACTAATACCAAAACCGACACCTCAAAATTTAACAAAGAGAAGCAGATTGAGAAAAATAATTATATACATTTTGTAGAAAATTGGTACAAATCAAAAAATTCAAATAAATTAATAACTAATGAAATAAACGACGATGACGAAAGATCTATAGAAAACATCGTAACAATAAGTAATTTGAACCCATTAAATGAATTCCAAAAATTCCTACTCAGCAATAGCGATAGAACCGACTTCCTATGCGATTACAGTGAACAGACGGTAAATATTTTTTCATTACCAAATGATATCGCAATCGGCCATTGCACAAGCCAATGCCTCACCATGTCGAAGGGGATCGCATTACAATTTAGAAATAAATTTAACAACGTTCAAAATTTAATAGACCAAGAAAAAAAACCGACCGAAATTGCTTATTTGAAAAACGGAAGACAATGGATTCTATACCTCATAACAAAAAATAAATATTACGACAAACCAGCATACACTAACATTTTTAGCACATTAACTAATACTAGGCAATTTTGTATAAAAAATAATATTACTACCTTAGCATTACCCAAAATTTGCACTGGACAAGACAAAAAGGATTGGAACGTTATTTCTACCATGATTAAGTTTATTTTTCAAGACACGCAAATAAAAATTTTAATATGCCTACTGCCGAGCAACGACAATGAAAAACAAAATAAACATTATAAAAACAATGATTCCCAAACTACTAATATTACGATAGGTAAAAATTTTAATAACACGATCAGTGATAGTTTAAAGAACGAAATCGCACTAATAGCTGGTTCATTCATAAAAACGAAAGACGTACCCGGAGACGGTGATTGTGGTGCCCACGCACTACGAATATGCTTGAAACAACATGGTATATATAGAAAGACGGTAGAATTATTAAATATGCTCGGCATTCCTAATTGCAAATCTGGCTACTATTTTAAAAATGACGATCTAGCATTTATCTGTGACCAATTTAATTTAAATTTATATTTAATACACGAAGATTCCGAACATACAAATGCCATAATATACTGGAAATCAAATAGGAAAAGTATAGGGATATTCGAAAAAGATTATAATTGGACACCAGGAATTATCACAAAAATATATAAACCACTTCAATTTAATAAAATAATAATAAACACAGTTTTTCCCGACTTTAATACTGTAGAAAAAAATGTAGACCATTTCTTATACGAATGTTTCGATCGCTTAAAATTATCGCAACAAAACACAATAGAAAAAAATAAAACCGGCAACTATTTTAAAACTGACAAATCAACAATATGGTACTCACAATTTTGCCAAGACTGCGAATATTTGTCCACAACCAAGGACGTACTAGACGACCACGATGACAAAGAAGAGTATTGGAGTGAGGGGGGAAACGTTATGTTTTGTGAAATATGCGGAAACTACATAAGAGAATATCGGAATCGGCCCATACAAGAAGACGAGAAAGCCATAGAAACCAAAAACCAGCTAATTCAAAACAAAGACGAAATTAAAATCAAAAATCAAAATACAAGCGTAGATTCAGACACAGACCGGAAACAAAGAGTGCTATCCATACAAATAAAACTAGACGGCAACGAACAAAATGCAATAATAGACACAGGCTCAAATCTATCATGTATAGATTATTCCCTAGTAAAAAATAAACAAGAAATGAAACCCGAGAACAAACACCAACAACGAAGACATAAGAAAGTTACCGAAAACATTGATAAAAATCCAGGAGGGCTTCGAGAATCTTATAAATGTTATCAAGTCCATTGAATAATTTTTCTAAATATTACCTTAAACAAAATTAATGTAATTGTAAAAATTAAAATTTATCAAAACAATATAATAATAAACCCCCTTTTAGGAAACACAGTAATAAATTAAGTATATGTCATGTATAAGTTCAATTAACTCTTTACCTATATATATGAATTAATAACACAATTACATTTAAGGGAAAATAATAAAATATTAAAAACATGTAAAAAAAAAGATATAAAAAAACAAAAGAATAGAATGTATTTTCAGCATAATCAAAAATTAACGAATCAACAGACAACAAGCCGCGACAATCTTCTGAGACAAAGTGCGAATATAATATTTTCAAAGTAGACAATAAGCATTAAACCAATAATTATAAAAACAATAAGCAAATACCTTTTCATACGAAGACACGAGGAAGATACTGCAGTCAAAACAGAAGTTTAGAAAAATAATATATGAGAATATAATATATAAATAAAAAAAAATATATATATACAGATTATAAGAAGAAAAACTAAAACAAGCAAGATAATAAATACTTACCTTATGAAATACAAAAGAGAAGAAGAATTAACTACCACAGAATCGAAGAATAAAATCCCGTAGAAGAACAACAATCATTTACTGCTATTTGTCGAAATAAAAATATTATACTTCAAACTGAGAAAAATCTCTAAGAAAACATTTTCCACAAAGAGCCAATCAATAAATTATTATAACCTTATATGTATTCACATAAATTTTTGTATCTATATTCTGAGTAAAAATTTCATACATTATAATACAGTATAGTATTATAACTCAATTTATATTTATGTTATAAAAAAATTATTAATCATTAATATGTATTTATGAATTATATGTTTCTAATTGTTTCTAGATCCTCACATAATATTGCCACAGGTAGAGATTTTTTTTTGTAATACCGAGTTAATTTTATACAGTATAAAATAATTACGGCGGTTGAAATATCGATTTATCTGTTTTAAATTTAAATTGTTGTAATTAGTGTTAATTATTTTGTATGTTTAATTCGTGAATTGTGGCTATTGTCATTCCTTTTGGAATATTACTATATACGTTGGAATAATTGTATAAGATTACTTCGTTAGAATAGTCTACTATCTGGGTTTCTAGCATTAAATGTTTTTCGCTGCCTAAGCGGTCTGTAGGATTTATTTTATACTGTGTTAGTATATCATTGCTTGTGATATATATTTTTAATTTTGACTTCGATTTTGGTGCAATAGTAATATTGTCATTAGATTTTATTTTTATGTATTCGGGTTGTACTTGTGATGCTTTCAGTTGTATAAATGTTTAAATTATTATTTTCATTATGTTTATACCATATAAATTATATTTTTTTTTCTCTCTTCTTCTCTCTCCCCTAACAACGCGTTAAAAAAAAAAAAAAATAAATAAATAAATAAATAATTAAAATAATAGGATTAAAATTAACATTTAAGCATAATTTTATAGTCAACGACGCGAATAAGCCGAGACAGTAATATAGTGTAAAAGTAGATTAGTATTTAATGTAGTAATAAGACAATTGTATGTAAAAAAATTATTAAAAAATGAGGGCATTTTTTTCAAAAAACAACGGGGACTGTCGTATATTGTAGACAGTCGTCAAAATATTATTTCATATATGTAATAGAGGTGGGAACTTTTTATTGTAAAACATTGACATAGGTCAGTGAAGCATATGTGCTGAGACAGCTATAAGATTACTATATAACACCGCCGCACGCGCAGGCACGGGGAGTCCCGTTGTCGCTGAGTGAATCGGCGAGGACGTAGGTACTGTGGTCGTACGTGTGAAACGTCGATCGTAGTACGGGCTAGGCGATCTGAATTCGCCAAGTATATTTTATTTTGTGTTTGTTATTTAAATATAATAAAAGTGTTTCCGACCTAAAAACCCGAGTTGAGTTTTATTTCAAAGTCTTCTTCGTTCTTACCTTTAATATTGGAACAGTGCTCAGACCCACACACCTATAGTCAATGAGGTTTATTACAAACTGAACAGTGCTCTGGTTGTGGCGTCCTAATAGTCATTCCAATTTAGGAAACGAACGAAGAACTGACAAAACGCTACCATCGTACCTCAAAGGTTAACAGTGCTAATCTGAATATATTCTAGAGACAGTCATTAGCCTAGAGCGTACGAGGGTAAGGTATAAAGTTGGTTTACCGCGTATTATCCAATACGGGTGATACCACAGTGTTGATATTGTTGAGACAGTGGATGGTCGATAATGTAGTGACGTAGTGTAAATGGTTGATGAGGTCTATTACTCTATTGAGTAAAGGAGTTTTGATTTTTAAAAAAGTCTAAAATGTATTGACGAAAATCTAATTTTTTTGCTCGATCTAAACTTTTATAATCCGGTAAGATGGAAAGAAGAAATGCCTTATCAGGGTCGATATCATGTTCGTTACTTAGTGAATCTGCAAAACATTCCAGTAATGCGGTTTTAAAAGGATTAAGGTATGTTCTTTTTTTTTCCGCCGTAGTATATTTTAGGCTTGAACAAGCTGCGTTAGAAGTTGAAGCCATTGGCGTTAATAACGGTTCTTCAGTATTTTCTATTTCATTTTCACTTATCGAAACGTTGTCCTCGTTACTTTTATTTCCACGATTTTCTATGTTAATTGATGTTCTGACAAAGTGGTTAATTACATCTTAGTAAATTTAGTATGATTATATTTGATATTAAATTATTGAAATTAATACTTACTTTCTTTTTATTAGTACTTGTTGTAAAAATGTTAAGGATTTTGAGTAGGCAAATTTTTTTTTCTTGGGTGATTTTCCTTTTTTACCATGATTTAAAAATTTACAATACCCATCACGTATATGCCTCCAACGATTTTTCAAATATTTAACTTAAAAAAATTAAGAAGAATCTAATTATAAAAAACTAAATTTAAAAATATTTTTTTTACTTTTGAGTACCCAACATTTTTTTTTTTAATAAGAGCAAGTGGATACTGCTCTGCTGTACATTAGATGTCGAGTGGATTTCTATTATGGGTATGTTAAATTTGAATTCAATAATACGTACATAACATTGTAATATTGTACACGAAAAACGATAAACAAAATATGCACACATCAAGGAAAAAGATGAAATTATACTAATTGACAAAGAAAAAATAGCTGATTGATGGAAAGAACATGAAGGATCCCTGTATGAAGATAATGATTCCGAGTTATTAATCCAAACATAAAAAAATGGAGACTCACAGGAAATTATGATCACTACAACTAAATTAAGATCGGAATTCGAATATGCATTAAGAATCATGAAAACAAACAAAGCACTAAGACCAGATAATATAAATACAGAAATACTTAAATACGCCTGAAAAAAACAAAGGAAGAACTATTTAAATTATTACAATATATATACAATACAGGAACTGTTCCAAAATACTTTTACAAAAATATGCTAGTACTATTACTGAAAAAGCCGGAAGCAGATCAATGCAGTAACTTCAGAACCTTATATCACATGCTTCCAAACTAATAATAATAATTATAAGTAGAAGGATTGGAAATAAAATCGAAGAACTGTTAGTTTTTGATCAATATGGTTTTCGAAAAAACAAAGGTACCAGGGAAGCAATACTAAGCTTAAGAATAATAATATAGAGAAATAAATAGATAGAGAGAAGAAAACCTTTATGGATTTTGTAGATTTAGAAAGAGCTTTTGATAATGTTTATTTGAAAATACTATTTAACATAATGGATAATGTTGGCATGGACATTAAATATAGAAATATTTTACATGCAGTATACAAAAATTAGGAAATTGAAATTAAAATTAAATCTATAATAAAGACAGCTAATATACAGAAAGAAGTAAGACAAGGATGTCCACTGTCACACTCTTTATTCAATGTCTACATTGAGCAAACAATAAGGGATATAAAACGAGAACTAAAAGAGAAAAGGAGAGTAGTAATAATTAAGGGTATCCTAATATTAAGCATACGACTTGCAGATGATATTATAGTTTTGCTCGCTACGTCTGAAAACGACCTACAAACAGCACTTATTGAAATGGATGATTATACGCTTAACATTTAAATTAAACATAATGGTATGTAATAAAAAAAATGTACCAAACATTAATATATCCCCTAAAAGAAATATAATAAGATCAATTAAATTAATTTAAATATTTGGGAATAATAATAAGAAATGATGGAAGATCAAAAAAAGAAATAAAAAGTAGATTATGCGACAAGCAAAAAATGCATTCCTAGTTAAGTATAAATTAATGACATAAAAAATATAGATTTAAGAGTAAGAAAACGTTTAATTAAAACGTATGTATATGGAGTACGGCGTTATATGGTATTGGAACATGGACGTTGAACAAAAAAGATGAGATCACTCTAGAATAGTTGGAGATGTGGTGTTAGTGAACAATGGAGAAAATAAAATGGTTTCAAATGAAAACAAACGAAGAAGTGTTACGTTTAGTCAAAGAAAACAGAATCTTGCTAAATAATTTAAAATCAAGACGATGACATGTGATAACGAAAAACTCCATAGCTTTGTACTGGAAAGTATGATAGAAGGGAAACAGAGAAGAGGCAGGCCAAAAACGTGTTGTATAAGTCATTTAATCGAAGATTAAAGAGTTAATTGGTATAAACTCAAGGACAAAACAGAAGACAGAGAATCACGGAGAGAACATTTATTGTTAACCAATCTACGGATTGATAAAAAAAATGCAATTTTTAAGGCCTTGTCGTGGACGAAATCTTACAGACATTCGTAAAGTATTGAACTATATATTATATGCAGGGCACTCGCCACTCAGTATGATGGAGTGTACATTTGGTGTACTAGCTAACAAATGCCGAGTACCTATAACACACTCCGATTCAAATAAAACTCAATTTTACGGATAAAATTATAAAGGCATGTTGTATTTTACATAATTTCGTACGTAAAAAAGATGAAACCAATTTTAAAAATTCAGAAACAATCTCACTTGATGACATCGAAGCTCATGGAACTGGGACACGATCTAAAGGTATTGAGGTGAGAGAGTATTTTCGTATTATTTTATTGGTCCAAGAGCTGTTCCTTTTCAGGACTCTAATAAACTGAAATATTTCTTCATCTTTTTTAATTATATATGCAGAAGTTATTGTTATATTAAAGTTATTTGTTGTATATTGAGTTATCAAGTTTCTTTAAATATGTCAATTATTAAAAACAAATTAAAACTTAATATAATTACTTGAATTTAAAATGATGTGTTTGGTTTTGTGTGTCTGTGTATACGATAAGTAGACAAGTAGTTGAAATAATGCTAACATTTTCAACTTCAGTATGGTTTCCAATGGGAAAGTGAATCTAGTTGGTGCGTTCGGAAGGTCAAAATAAAAAGTTAAGGAAAGACGGGAATGTTTACGTAAAATCGGTTTTTGGAAAAATGTTGGATTAAAAAAAGTTACCGTAGATTCATGACATTTTAACTGAATGTTTATATTAGAATATAAATATAAATGTATAAGATAATATGCAATTAATATTAATTCAACTTACTGACTACGACTACCGTATTAACAGTGGCGGATCTAAATAATTTTATTTTATTTTTTTTTTGGGGGGGGGGGCATTGTCTTTTTCCAATTTTACGACAAAAATATTTTAAAACGTCCCAATTTATTAACATAAATGCTAGGCCAATGGGGGGCCCTCTGCCTCCCCCCCCCATAAATCCGCCACTACGTATTAATATATCCTATAGAAAGACAAACTGTCACGGCCTCAGAATTTATTGTTTTTCGTATACACTTATATGATACCATTGAATTCAAATTTAACATCATCCATTACAGTGACCCATTTCTAACTTCTCTAACCTTTCTAACCTTCTGTACAGCAGAGCGTCACCCACTTACCCTATTTTTTTATTATTACTAACTTGAATATATAGGTAAGTACAAAATGAATGTACTCAAGAGTGTAGTTAAAGGTATTACTCAATATAGGTACTAAAATATATAAAATCTTACCTCGTTCATCTTTTTCGGTGGTTGATAACTCGTCCCAGTCTTCATAGACAGCTTGTCCAACATTTACCCAACTTTGGGTTTTCATATTCTTGTCCATATATTGTTTCGAACTTGTCTCCCAAATCGCATTATTATTATGAATACATTTAATGAATTTATCCACATCAAACATTTTTTAAATGTATTTAAAATATGCCAGGTAATATAGTGGTAATAATAAAAATCAAAAAATTATATCAGGCATGTAACGATGCGACCCGTCCGGTTACGTCGTCAGTGTAATGGACTAATGTTTCAAATGCGTTTTGATATACAACCGCAACACGACGCGGTTTATTTTTCAACCGGACGGTTACAGCGTTTATTTTAGAGTAGTCTGGACGTGCGGTCACTGGTCGGTCTGGTAACACACTGTCTGGTATAGTGGTACTACGGATTCGCTCAGAATTCTAGCGCCGCAGCGGTAGAAATCATCCGCTTGTCCAGTGCCGCATTTAGACATTTTGCGCCCCGGTGCAAAAAAAAATTGGCGCCCCCCAAGCCCCGGTGAAAAAAAAATTGCTCCTCCCACGGAAAATATGTGAGGTAGATCCTCATTACCCTTTAGATTTTGAGCGAAGAAAAGAATATTTGTTTAAGAGTGCTTTTTTAAAAAAATATTGTTTAGTAATTGCTTGATCCCTCCGCAAAGATATATTGGAATTTATGTCACTCAAACCTTGCTAATAATTTAGTATCATTAAGTTGTTTTTTTTTTAAACATATTTAAGTAGGTACTTCATGGATAAATAAAATAAAATTATATAAAACTATGCAAATAAATATTTTATATTTTATTATATATAGTATTTTATAAAATTAATGTAACTATATACAGGGCTGGTAGTGGTTTAAGCTATTTAAAAAAAGTGACTGAATTTATTTATAAAAGTGACAAAAAAGTGACCTGCATAAATTTGTTTCATAACAACTTGTCAACTTACCAGTTATTAAACATTAATTATTTTTGAATCTCTACATACCTATAGTTTAATTGATTCTTACTTACTTAATTTTGTAGAAATTACAAAAAATAATGATTATAATAAACACAAAATTTAATAGCAAATAATTAAATAATATTACCTATTTAAATGAATGATGTTTATAATATAGAATAATATTCAAGATCATTGTTTTGGAACTTCCTTTATTTTAATCATAAGTACAAAACTATGTAATATAAAATCAATACGCCGTATTGGTATTGCCCGTATTATTATAAATAACTGATGTCTATTGACATAATCACAACAAATTTGGGAACTAGGTATATTAATAATTATCGATCGCTGTAGCTATATTGCTATAAATACATTGATTGTTTAAATAATAAATTTCAAACAGCATAATTATTATACTATAATAATTAATAATATATACAATACTATTATACTAGATTATATTATATAATACTGTTATAAAAATAATTTAAAGTATACAATTTTAAAAAATCATAAGTAAAGACATTTCTGTCCACAAAATTTTGGCGCCCCTAAAATACTGGCGCCCGGGGCAGTTGTACCCAGTGCCCCCCCCCTAAATGCGGCCCTGCGCTTGTCCCGTTCGATCAAAAACCATCGCTCTATGAATTATACCGACCATAATATCCTGAAATAACCGCTGCGGCTGTTATAAACCGCATCAAGTTGCGGTTTATATTACCGCTGTGTCTGTGACCGGACAGTGTTTTCACTCAATTATTATTTAGGACAACTGCGTATTGCATTATGTACTAATATAGATATATCCATATGGGTACATTGTATTTATCATGTACTGCATCAGTATAAAAAATTTTTTTGAAAGTTATAAGGTACAAGTGTACAACACAATTTAAATTAATAATTTTACAATATTTTTCAACTGCATTACAGAAATACATAGGTAACTATAAAAATATATGTAAGGTCGTCGACCATTTAAAAAACAACAACTGCGCTAAAAATGTGAAACATGCAGCACTTGTATCATTGTCTGTAAAAATTATTCACTCATTTCTTTGAGCCATTTCGAAAATGTGTAAGAACAAAATTGATGTGGTGACGTACTGCCTTCTTGTTCTCAGTATATAGGTACTATGAATTTTGTAATAATTCATTAAAGTGTAATTAGTTCAATTTAATAATAAACACGTTACCTACATAATATTATTTATATATATATATTATATTATGTAGGTATTGTATATGCACTCGAGTACAGTTTCAAAAATATCCGATTATTACTGCCTATGCCTATTTATTTATCACAGCTGCTAATTAACACCGTCTGTAATATTTTTCCAACAGTATTTCGTAATTGTAATATAATTCATAAGAGTTTGGAAAAGGTCTAATAGCTATAATTCATGCGAAGTGTATGTACAATAGAATTGTACATGAATTTCAAATATCGCACGTTTCCAATACACCGCGTGAAATATAATGATATTATGTATTATACATAATATTGTATACTATTATAATACTATTATGTGCCTTTATTAAAGAAACCTACTATACAATATATGTACGATAAACACTGCAGATAACTAATATACTTTTTACGCTGCGGTATCGCGTCTCGCCGACTCGGTTTATACCTACATATTATTCTATACTGACTGTCTGACTATACGTTTCCAGTCAAAATTCCAGTGCTAAGAGTACCTCTACGTGATGATTCCAAAGTGTAAAACCGACATCAAACGAACCGGTCCTGTCTGTGGCAATGGGACACTGCAGCGTGTTCATGGTGTATAATATATAGCTATATACAGTGTGATAAGTGGAAAGGAATGCAGACCACAAACGTGACCTCCTCCGCGGGTTAACAGTTTTTAGATTTGTATTATACGTGGTACGTGGTGGGTCTGGTCTCTGGTATATGCCTATGGTGCCTACAACTGTCTACATATATATTATATTCGTTGTGTCGTTGTATTATATAGAGATGGAGAATTTACGTAAAAAAAAATATCGGTAAATTTACCGGTAAATTTTACGGTAAATTTACCAATAGTGTGGTAAAAATGGTAAAATAGCTAAATCTTAGAGCCATTGTTATTTTTTATATTATACATTAGTTAATACGATTTGTACTAGGTGCTAATGTTATATACCTACTTGTTAAATCTAGTTCTTTCTAATAATAACAATAATTAACAAAAAATTTAAAAAATCAACCTAAAATATCTATTGTTCTGTATTAGACATTAGTAATTAGTACATTTTATGAAATATGAATATTGAATTATTCATATTACAATTAATAAATAATTTAAATTAAATTAAACTAAACTATCAAAATTCACATAACCTTTATTTCTTTTTAAGTCAAAACATTTATATTTAGACTTAACTTTTGTATTAATAATAGTATATTATCAATATAACATTATCTGCATTCTTGGTATCTCCCTATAAAATCTTTCCTAATTACCTACTGATATTTAATGTTCTAATATATAGTAGGGGTGGCAGAATATTGATTTTATAGTCTATAACAAACTATATAAACTATAACAAGTATATTAATATTACAAATGATAATATCACAGAAGTTCCTTTTTCGGTTTACCTACTTTGGTCCAACCCAAAAAATTTTAAGGTAATTTTGCCAACTGGAAAGTGGAATTTGGTAAAAATATTTTTGTTGATACGCTATAGACTATAGAGTCTAGAGACTAGAAACTCGAAAATGTATCTGAAAATAGAAATATCAAATAGTCATAACAACACAGGTCGACAGCTGATAACAATATAACGATTGACGATCGACCGTATACCGAACAAATAGCAAATATGATTAGTACCACGGCTTAAGGGGCCTGCACGCGACCTGTTTTTTTGCTCAAAAACATGCCTTACAGGAAAAACTCTCACGCCTCGTAGATTGGTCCGATTTCCGTAATTTTTTTTTTGTTAGATAGAGGAAGACTTCTTACAGGGCGCATTGGACTTGGATTTTCAACATTATTTTTCTAAGTCTTATGTTACAAGTTTGAATTTAATCAATTTTTACAACTTTTTAGTTTTTGTATTATTTTTTGTTTTTAGCGACGTAATCAAAAATCGAAGTCCAATGCGCCCTGTAAAAAATATTCCTCTATCTAACAAAAAAAAAAATACGGAAATCGGACCAATCTACGAGGTGTGAGAGTTTTTCCTGTAAACTGTGTTTTGACCGATATAATACACCCTATCAACCCCCCCTAAATAGGTATTGGGTAGTAGATTAGTGGAAAAGTCTTATAATTGAGGTGGCAACTAAAATATAAAATTTAATTTTCAAATTTTATAGAATTGCGGAAAATTTGAAAAATCGCGAGCAGGCCCCTTAAGATTTATCTTAAACCGTGATTAGTACTTTATTCATTATTGTATTGTTATCATTTGATAAAAAATATATCTCTTTACAATGCAGACTAGGCGTTTTCGATTTCATTTGATTAGAGGGGTCACACAACATTTTTTTTTGGTAAAAAATAATTTACCGGTAAAAAAAAAATTGGTAAAATTTACGGTAAATTTTTTTACCGGTAAAAATTTACCTGGTAAATTTACACCACTCACATCTCTAGTATTATATATATGGTACACCTACCTACCAATATGGTATAGAATTAGATGCACATGCACGCACGCACGCACGACTAGAAGCAGCTGAGGAGTTAGGAATGCAGTTTTTTATACGTCCGTGGTGGCGTGTATTGATAATAATAATAACATAATATGTGTTTATGCTGTTAAAAAGTATTCTCAAAGGGTATTTTTGACTTAATCTCCTGCAGGAGAATTCCTAGTGTCTTTTGTACTCTGTATAATATAGTCTGTATAGCTGCAGGTTTACATGCACTCGCAAAAAATAATGCACCCATTATTGTAACAGAAATATTCTCGCAAACAAAAGAAAACGGCAACGTCTTGTGTACAATAGTACCGTGGGTATATCAAAATAATATACACATTGTCAACCAGTAGGTATTATATTTGTGTCAGTTCGGAATGTTTTTCCACTCTTGGTGTTTGTTATAATTTGTTTTCGCTCACAGATACAGATATGAGATGTGAGAATATGATATTGGTCTATAAAAAACATGTAGTGCCGTACAAACAGTTATAGAACATAATTTAATTATTATATGTACCT